AAATACTTTAGGAAATTTCTCTTTTTGGGGTTTTAAAGTAAATATGCTGCAATGGAATTCCCTACCTTAATGAATTAATATGTAATGTCTTCCCTGTTCCCAAGTGTTCAAAAGTTGTCTTTTTTTTTCCCCCCCAACCCTCAGGAGCTGTTTCACAAACATGGTACCAAATGCTTGAGATTGTGGTTATCAGCCAAGATACACATTCTCTGGGTGTAGGCAAACTAGTCAGCTGTACTAGTTGTCCTGATGAACCTTAAATGCTTGTTACCTGGTAGAATAAGTCTTCATTTTGTTTACTAATTGACGGAATAGTGACAGAAAGTTTAAAAGTTTAAGTAGTGACTGAAAGTTTATAGCATACCCAACCTTGGGTTTTAAATTGCATCAAATTCTTATGTCGTTCTTGTGTACGTAAGTCTGGAGGCTATAATAACTAAATAAACATGTTACCACTATATTTTTACCTTTTTCAGGACGTCTCATGAAACTATAAGAGTGGCTAAATGAGACCAATTATTTATACCTTTTAGATGATTTTTGAATTCAGGAAATTGCATTTTGTATTGCATTAGGTTAATAGGTTCATGAAAGCAGAGAAGAATCGGTCCATGAGAGAGAGAAGTCCTCATAGAAAATCAGTGTTGCCCTGAAACGGGCTTAGTATGGGCAAAATAGAAGCTAGGATAATTGGATCCAAATTCATTTTTAGTGACTATCCATATACTGAGAGGACATTTCAAAGACAAAAAAAGTATACTCTTGACATTGAAGACTTTCAGTCTGCAAAATTATGTAGATTCAATTTCTTTAGCCTTTGGCCTTTCAAGTCGAAGACCAGGATCGGTGTGTGGAGGGGGATCAGGTCACTTGACATATTACACAGCCATCGATTCCCTTCACCAGCCACTACTTAGTGGGCTGCACAAGCCCGCCAGTCTTTTCTCGGGGCAGGGATGGAAAATGAGAGGGTAGGATGAGAGGAGAGTAATCCAACTGGATTGGCTTCTTAAAATTCAGAAGATTTGGGTGAGGGTGAAACTGAACATTTTGTACTTTTAATGACCACCAAATGACTGCCTACTACTTCACCACAGCTGGAGAAACTAAAAACATATGCTCTTTTGCAGCTGGGTCAGAAATGCTTTTTTTCCCATATGAAAGAGGGGCTGCGTTGCACATAATCTGTGCAACATTATGAAAAATCTTCATATACAGACAAAATGGTACTAGAATCTGGACTGCAGGAGGTTCAGTGGCACATAATTTTTCTTTTAATAATCTATATCGAACCCTCCTGACACCTGATATAATCTAAAATGGCATTAGTTATACATCAGTGACCCAAAAAAGATTTGTTTTTTTCTAAATGCAGCATACCAGTGAAGTTGCTAATAACATTGAATCATTCTGTACAGGTTCTGTTTTGAAGGGAAAAAACACTTTCTGATTTTTGTATGAAATTGTATGAAAGACTACTTTTCAGCCGTGACTCATGAGCTCCGTCTCATTGCAGCTCCTTAGGTATTTATTCCCAAATGTCTGACGACACCTCCAGGTGTATTAGCATGTCTGCTACACAAGTGTCCTATTCATCGGCTAAGGCTTCGCTCCATTTGTTGAATGTTCTGAGGAAAGCATTATACCCTTTCTTTAGAAGCCAGTGTTTATATGTGGAGTCACTAATGTACTGGTATGTTGGATTTAGTGATGAACAGATCTGAAATAACCTGATTTTTTTGTTGTTCATTGTTTACACTGTACATTACACCCTTCACAGAAAGCACATAGAAAAATGCTACCTACTGATGATATTCACGTTCTCCTTAAACACTCATAGTTTGATCAACTCAGGCATGAGGGAGAAAATGAACACTAGGAAGAAATACATGAGAAAATACATGTCAAAACACGAGCAAGATTTATTAAATACAAATCAAATCTTCTTTAATGAGAGGTTTATAGTAAAAAAAGAAAAAAATGTTGTAATGTTGTATTACTCGTATGTGTACATGACTAAATCGAAAGCCAAAACTTTTAATTTAAGATACTGAGGTTTATTTAGGCACCTCTCAGCATGTTGGATGTAGTTCAGGAATTTTCTGAAAAAGGAAGCTTGTTTATTAAGTGAAAAAATGATGTGTCTTTTGAAGCAGGCATAGAAAGTCAGGCTACCCTTTTGGAATAAATATCTAAAATTCTGTCACCCAACCACATTTCTAACTGCGTTCTAAGCTTGTAAAAACTTTTTAATTTAATTAATTTTAAAAATTAAATTATTTAATGCTTTCTGTCTTAGAAAATGAGGGGACATTTATGTTACCCTAAAGTGTAGGTTAGACTTCAGCACCTTACACGTCATATAAGATGATTTTTAAAATCAGGAAATAGCATGTCATATTGCATTAGGTTCTTCAGTTCATGAAAGCAGAGGAGAATAGGCCCAACAAAGAAGAGAAGTCCTTACAGAAAGGAAATCAGTGTGGTCCTGAAACAGGCTTTGTAAGGACAAAATGGAGGCTCACATAATTGGATCAGAAGCCACTTTCAGTGACTGTCCACATACCGAAGTTTTAGAAACTTAGTTGTGGTAACTTATCTCCATCTGTCAATCAGCAGGCATATACTGAGTGATTTCTGTATACAAGGCCCTGGATTAGGTACTGGGGCCCCTAGTGTATGAGCAGAACTTTTTATGATAGAGAAACCTCACTTGTTAGCACTAAGGAATGTATCCAAGTCACTCGGCACCAAAGTATGTTAGCAGCGGGGAATCTGTGTGGGTCTGTAGCAACCTCAGTTCTTGCCTCCTCAAGGAAGAACAAGGCAGAGGGAGAAGCCAAGGCAACTTTTAGAGCAGGAGTGAAAGTATTAAAAAGTTTTAGAGCAGGAGGCCGGGCACAGTGGCTCACGCCTGTAATGCTGGCACTTTGGGAGGCTGAGGCGGGTGGATCACTTGAGGTCGGGAGTTGGAGACTAGCCTGGTCAACATTGTGAAACCATGTCTCTACTAAAAATACAAAAATTAGCCAGGCCTAGTGGTGCATGCCTGTAATCCCAGTTACTTGGGAGGCTGAGGCAGGAGAATTGCTTGAACCTGGGAGGCAGAAGTCGCAGTGAACAGAGATCGATCGCACCATTGCACTCCAACCTGGGTGACAGAGTGAGACTCCATCTCAAAAAAAAAAAAAAAAAAAAAAAAAAAAAAAGTTTTAGAGCAGGAATGAAAGTAAAGTACACTTGGAAGATGACCAAGCAGGCTACTTGAGAGAGTCAAGTGTGTGGTTTGACCTTTGACCTGGGCTTTCATATGTTGGCATGATTCGGGTGTTATATTACTTCTCTCCTAATTCTTCCCTTGGGGTGGGCTGTCTGCATGCCCAGTGGCCCTCCAGCACTTGGGAAGCGCCGCATGCGCGTGGTGTTTACTGAAGTTGTGTGCATGCTTACTTTAAGCGATTTTTTTCCCTTAGCAGTGGAGCATTCCCAGACGTAGGTCTTACACCAGTTAAATGCCGCCATTTTGCCTCTTAGTGCACATGCTTGAGCCCACTCACCCAACTCCTTAGATCTCATGGGGACGCGGCTGATCATAAGTTTCAGGTGTTTCTGTCTGGTAGGGACCGTGTTTCCTTGGTGCCAGCTGCAACCAATTATTGTTTTAGAGCGAGATAGTTTAACAACCATCTGACCTTCACCTGATGGCTGCCTGACATTCTTGGTTCAGGGGGTGCCCTCTCTTGCCTTGCTCATATCTAATACCTACTCTAGCATCCCTACTATGTACAGATGAGGGCTACACCGAGACATTAAAATTAGTCAAAGAGCTGCCCAAGGGCAAACATGCCCTCCACAAAGACAGGTGGTAAGGGAAGCAGCATTGTGATGATATGTAGCAAATGTTTCATTCAGTGATGGCTGACACGCCCATTCCCAGATAACAGCAATAGGTCAAGGCAAACGTATCTAGAAGTTTTCGAAGATTAAAAGCCTTCACATTTTGTGTACTTAGAAACAGCTAAGGGGATAAAAAATTATTCCCTAAGAGATAAATGCCTAAGTACATGTAATTCTGTAAGGTTAAAGAGAGACCAAAAGAAGAGGTAAAATGCTGGCCGGGCATGGTGGCTCACGCCTGCAATCCCAACAATTTGGGAGGCCAAGGTGGGCAGATCACTTGAGGTCAGGAGTTCGAGACCAGCCTGGCTGACATGGCGAAACCCTGTCTCTACTAAAAATACAAAAATTAGCCAGGCGTGGTGGCATTCACCTATAGTCCTAGCTACTCAGGAGGCTAAGGTAGGAGAATTGCTTAAACCCAGGAGGTGGAGGTTGCAGTGAGCCAAGACTGCACCACTGCACTTCAGTCTGGGTGACAGAGTGAGACCCTGTCTCAACAACAACAACAACAAAGAGGTAAAATGTTATCTTTATTTTTCCCTATTCTCTCATTCCTAACAAAAGAAAAGAAAGTGCATGCTGGGCCGGGCGCGGTGGCTCATGCCTGTAAATGCACTTTGGGAGGCCAAGGCGGGTGGATCATGAGGTCAGGAGATTGAGACCATCCTGGCCAACATGGTGAAACCCCGTCTCTACTGAAAATGCAAAAATTAGCTGGGCGTGGTGGCACTTGCCTGTAGTTCCAGCTACTCAGGAGGCTGAGGCAGGAGAATCACTTGAACCCAGGAGGCAGAGGTTACAGTGAGCCGAGATTGTGCCACTGCACTCCAGCCTGGTGACAGAGCGAGACTCCGTCTCAAAAAAAAAAAAAAAAAAAAAAAAAAAAAGAAAAGAAAAGAAAGAAAGTGTGAGCTTTTCTCTCCTCATGAAGTCAAAGCTTGACAGTAGCTCAGACTCTTAGGGAGCCCACACTCAGGATCTTTGCACGTGTGTCTCAGCATTGTCATTTATAAGCTGACTTTTTAGAGTGGTTTTGGTCTTGTGCACATCAGCACATCATTCATATTTTATACAAAATTGTGATGTGATCAGTATCTCCTCCAGCTTCATCCTGAGTGCACTGCGTGCATGAGGGTTTGAAATCGTTTTGTAACAAATAATCATAAATTTAGAAGTACATGACGTAAGCTAATTCGGGTTGCCCAGAATTCCACTTAATTTGATTTATTGCAAAACAAGTACGAAAGTTCATGAATTTGACATAGACATTGTTAACATTCTTTAAGTATTTCTAGCCTGTTTACCTATTATGCAACAAGTCCAACATTCCTAGAAGTGCCTATTTTATCTTGACTAATTGTTTCCACACACATTAAAAGGACTCAAGTGAATTGTAGAAATCAATTCTAAAAGAATATGCCCTTTGAAATGATTCTCCATCTGGATACAGACTGTAGGTTAAAGTATATACAATGGTGGGGAATCTAAGGTGGAAGGTGACCCTAGAGTTTTCAAACTACAGAGTGAAAAAATCTTGACTAAAGCTAGGATTCAAAGATACCAAGAGATGAAACTCTTCTTATGGATCCTGTTAACTGGGGGTTGATTCATTTCATTTTCCTTTGGCTTGGTTTAAGACCATGTACTATAGGAATGATACAGTGGCCAGTGACTTCGTTGTCTGACATTTTCAACACCCTTTGTTACTTCTGTCTTCACTGGTGAGTCGTGGATTATTTTATCATCTGGATGCTTAGAACTCTGAGCAAGTCATGTTCTAGAACTATGAGACTAAACGATGAAGAACTTTGCACTGGTAATATGAAAGTTCTGAAAGTGTGTGGTTTTAAAGTGTGAAAAACATGGCAGGTAAGATCTCTCAGGTACTCTGAACCATGATGCAGTCTTTCTTCTCTTCAAAACCTCTACTTCTAAATGGCATTCATTGTGTTTTCTAGTGTTTTTTCTTTTGTGTATGACACTAGTTAACCTATATTTTTTACCATAAAGCTAGGACTCAAATACTAAGAGGTTTGACTCACCTTAGGTGGAACTTTATATAGTACTTTAACGTAGAAATATTTGGAATCAATTTCTGCTGATAAAGGTATCAAAAGCAAGTGATACTAAAACGAGTAGGTTCAAAGTTGTATACTAAATAGAGAGACCTTGGTAAGAGAGAATGAGGGATTTTCAAATATGGTCCAGAAGATAGTCTCTGAAAGGCTAAACCAGCAATGGTTACTAGCCATGCAGGAAGCCAGTGCTATCTAATCTTACAAATTCTGTTTTCCTGCCAAATGGCATTTAGGAGCAACTGATAATTTATTTCTTGCCACTTGCTGTTACTGGAGATTTATTTGGTTTTTCAACTCAACTCAGCCCTTAACAAGAAAGCAAGTCTTTGTTGACGGCACAATATTATCAGTATGGCAAAGCTAAGACGAGGCTTCTATGTGATACTGGAAAGACCAGCAAGAATGGATTAAGGAGAGTGATTTTCCATATGCTGTCACTGTGACAGGTGCTTTTCTCTATAGACACAGAGGCTAAAAGCAGTTTAAAAGCTGCCTTACCTAAACAGTACATAGTTCAAGGAGATAGACCCTGTGTCCATTGCGTTTCTAGTTTTTGTTTCTAACCCATTATATAAAGGAACATCCCAGTTTGCTTTTTAGAGAAAAGTTCAAGTAAGAACCATTCTCTGGTCTTGCTAAGTCTCTTAATTGTGACACAACTGTCCTAAGCAACTGTCCTTGCACAAGAATGTCACTCATCCGCCTCATCTGCCAGCTCCTTGGAGATGAGGGGGGTCTGTGTGTCAGCAGGAGGCAGAAGGCCCTGTGGCTCGTCCAGTGGCCTGATTTCCTTTGTTTGGAGGCTTGGTTCTGAGTGAGAGTTCAACAGCCTTTGCCCAGGCGGCTTCTCAAACACAGGGTGTGGTTTCCTTAGCTCACTCTCTGCTGTTTGGTTGCTCGTGGCAACAGGATCCAAATAACTTGGACATGTGTTTGTATAAAAAAAAACCTGGGAATGGAACCCAAAGTGAGAGTTTGGGGCTTTCAGTTAGTGGAAGAGCTGCGGTGAGTACCGGGCAACTGCTCATTTATTTTCTCTCATTCTCTCTCTCTAAATTACACTGGATGTTTGCTAGCACAATAACCATGTTTGTGGATAGTTTTAGAAAATAGTCTCAATTCTCGTGTTTCCTGTGCAAATGAAATAATTGCTATCTATTTACCCGTGTAAATTTCTTTTTCAGGGGGAGAGGAACAAATTAGCATATGTTTAAAGAAGTTGAAAGCTAATAGAAACTCATATTTGGTACCTTTTTGGTGGCAGGATTCTATAGGAAATGCCTTGGCAAAGGGAGCTGCAGAGTGCCTCAGTAATGCTTGGGATTGCAGGCGTGTTGTCTAGGGCCACAGCCGGGGAGGGGACCAGGGAGGGAAAACGGGCTGTTCATACGGAGGGAGTGGAAGGGATTCTTGGAATAATTTTTTCCAGACTCTATTTTAAGATTATAATTTTTAAGACAGCAAATATCCCAAATGGTAATACTGGTTACACTTCTGTGAGCATATTGATTCTCACTTGCTTGACTCAAGTGGGAGTTTGATTTTGGTCACAAAGCCACCCGTGACTATGACAAATAATTCAAGGTTGCCAAACTTGCCTGTGCCAGTTGACAATGCCGTTTATGTAAGTCCTCTCTTGCTATATTTCTCTGCCCTCAAAAGTCAGTAAACTGTCTTGGACAAAACTCTTTAGGATCTGTTCAGGGATTTAACACTTTTCTGCTAGATTGCAAGTAAATTTAAACACGTTAAACAAATTAACAAGGATTGCTTAGGTGCCTGGTGTGGTACAGAATGAGCTGTCAGTTTCTATTCTGATGAATAGAATTTTATAGATAGGAGGAACAGGAGGCCTCCAGAGGATACTACCCTCCCTAAAAAGTGACAGAGGAAGAGCTGAAAGCGGGCCGAGAGGCTTCTTGATGACCACATGGTGGTCTTAGAGAAGCTGCTGCCTGCAGGCGGGGCTCCTGCTTTTCCGCACCCCTTTGAGCCTCTGCCCCACACTCTTCCTTTGTATAAAACAACTGCTTCTTGCCTGCCCCATCACAGCCCTTCCACTCCATTGGGTCACTGCTCAATAGCACAATAGGACTGCTCAGCCATACCTCCCAGCATCCTGTCCCCTATCCGGTGACTCGGCCAACACAGGCTCTGTTCCACTTGCCCCGCTCCGTGTCTTTTGTGAATCAGCACAGTTGGTATGTCTGAGCAGGGGCTTCTACCATCTCCCCAAGGGAATCACTAGCCATCGGCCTTCTGGCCCCGCGGGGCACTTTTGTTCCTGGAATCATAGTGAAGTATCTGTTGTCTTGGTGCCTGGTCGTCAGCTGGGCTGAAGGGGAAGCTGGGTCCTGGTCCCCAGACCCATGGACTCCAAGGTAGCATTGCGCAGTTGCCTCTGGGAGCCACTGCTCAGGGTGCTGGGGCATTTCCAGTGGTCATTTGTCCTGCCTGCTTGCCCCCGCAGGTCCCTCCAGCTATAAGGTGGGCACCATGGCGGAGAAGTTTGACTGCCACTACTGCAGGGACCCCTTGCAGGGGAAGAAGTATGTACAAAAGGATGGCCACCACTGCTGCCTGAAATGCTTTGACAAGTTCTGTGCCAACACCTGTGTGGAATGCCGCAAGCCCATCGGTGCGGACTCCAAGGTAATGGGCATCCCCACGTGCCAGTGGGAAGGGCTGGGCTTCAGAGTGTCCTTTACCCACAATCATGGCAGCAGCAGCTGGCTGTTAGGATTTCCCAGCATCACTGCAGCCACCTTGAGGCCTCAAGGAAGCCTCCTCCACTCCCGAGGCCGCAGTGGCCCAAGCTGTTTAATGTGGGGCTTGACTGGATGGGTGACAAGGCCATTGCCAGCTCTTCTGATTGCATTCTAAATATTTCAAGAATTGTGAGATTTTTATCCTCACCTCAGCGTCCCTCCTATCACTCATAAGAACAGTCACTGTGGGGCAGTCCCCAGGTGTAAGGGACTGTGTCATCTCAGTGGTCAGTCCCAGGGAAATCAGCCTTATGGGAGGGCTCCTGCCGCCACCTCCAGCACCCCTCATGGTGGCCCACCCTGTCTGCTTGGTTTCCAGGAGGTGCACTATAAGAACCGCTTCTGGCACGACACCTGCTTCCGCTGTGCCAAGTGCCTTCACCCCTTGGCCAATGAGACCTTTGTGGCCAAGGACAACAAGATCCTGTGCAACAAGTGCACCACTCGGGAGGACTCCCCCAAGTGCAAGGGGTGCTTCAAGGCCATTGTGGCAGGTACTGCCTCCTTCCCACCCCGGGTTCCCAGGGAGGAGGCCCTGAGGGCAGACGTGATGTGGGCTTGCTTAACACGGTGGGGCTAACGTTGCTCTGAGCTGCTTTGAGATATTAGCATATATATGTACACATATACATACACGTATATATGCGTACACATATATGCTCGCACACACGCACACACTCGGAGACTAAAGAACACTGGCGAGAACAGCCTGTGGCAAGAGATGAAGTGAACAGTATGTAGCGCTTTCTCATTTGGGCGTAGTAAGTGATGAAAGCATGCTTCTTCCTCAGGGTGTCATTCTGGGCCATATAGTCCCTGATTTAATGTCTAAGTGCACGCAGGGTATAGAGGTGGGGGAGTGGGGCATTCAGGCACCGGATCCTAAAACAATTGCTGGGGTCCCCGCCCATGACAGAAATCCTGGGTTGGCACAAGCATAAGTAGAACACAGGTAGGTTAGTTGGAGGTGTGAGGCCAGTAACTGCAGGGCCTGCATCCCCTCACCTCTGGAGGGCCTGGGGAGGGGAGCTGAGTGGATGCAGCCCCCTGCAGAGCCTGTCAGTGGGGCTATCCAATTGCTTCCCCCTGCAGGAGATCAAAACGTGGAGTACAAGGGGACCGTCTGGCACAAAGACTGCTTCACCTGTAGTAACTGCAAGCAAGTCATCGGGACTGGAAGCTTCTTCCCTAAAGGGGAGGACTTCTACTGCGTGACTTGCCATGAGACCAAGTTTGCCAAGCATTGCGTGAAGTGCAACAAGGTATGCTTTCAAGGGAGTTCTGCATTGACCGTTGTTTCTAGAAGTGTTTGACAGTTTGCGCAGAGCACTTCCACACACACTATCCCATTCCATCCTCACGACAGCCCTGTGACGTAGGAATTATTATTCCCGTTTTACAGATGAGGAGATCGTGGATTAGGAAGCAGTGCCGAAGCCAAGTCTTAGGCTGTCGGTATGCATCCTCAGCCTGGTGGTGTGGGTAGCCCGTACGGCATGCTGAGCTGGGCAGCCCTGGCTCCAGAGGCCTGCCTCCACCACTAAGGGGTTGTGTAACCTCACATAGGGGCTCACTTTCTCCGAGCCTTGGTGTCTTCATCTGTAAAGTGGGGATAATAATAGCCCCTGCCTCCCATGGCCGTTGTGGAGATTAAATGAGATATTGTATACCAAAGCGCCCAGCACAGTGCCTGGCACGCAGTAGGCATTCAACAAAATGGTTGTTGAATCTGAATCCGGTGCTACACTCCCTGGTCTAGGCCATCACATCTGGAGGAATCACTTACCAGGATCAGCCCTGGCATGCCGATTGCTTTGTGTGTGTTACCTGCTCTAAGAAGCTGGCTGGGCAGCGTTTCACCGCTGTGGAGGACCAGTATTACTGCGTGGATTGCTACAAGAACTTTGTGGCCAAGAAGTGTGCTGGATGCAAGAACCCCATCACTGGTAGGCTAAAGAGTCCTTGCTAAGTCTGCCAGGCTAGGTTTTGCGCATGGTAACCATCTCTCATTTTCCTGTCGTCGGTTTCATCCACAAAGGCCCCCAGAGTATGCCCTTCTCCCCTGCTATTGTGGTCCCAAAGGCCCCCCAAGAGTTTGGATTTAATCCCCAGGCCAGGTTAGCCTTTGCAATACAGAACACTTCCTGACTGTTGACTAACAATGCCAAGAGTTCACAAGCCTGAGACCTGCCGGCCAACACCGGCAGGCACTACCACTTTGCAGGGGGATTCTGCAGGGAGGGGTGGGAGGAGGGTAGAAAGAAGGGGGTGGGGGAGGTGGGGAAGGGAAAGGGGGAAGGGAGGCTGAAGAGTGATAATCTGGGATTGTAATACCCCGTAGCTGAAGGCTAGTTCAGAGATGCCTGTTGGCAGGGTTTCTTTTTGTTTTGTTTTTTGGTTTGCTGTTTATTTGTTTTTGCGATCAGCAAAGCTAATCACTTCATTCCTCATCTCGCGGCCGCGATCCACGTGCCCTGGGCCCTTTCCCTTGCCTCCAATTTTCCCATCTTCCCGGGGAGCCTTGAAATGTACATTTGAGAAGACTTTTGCCATCCTCAGGGAAAAGGACTGTGTCAAGAGTGAGCCACCCAGTCTCTAAAGCTAGGAAGCCCCCAGTGTGCCACGGGAAACGCTTGCCTCTCACCCTGTTTCCCAGCGCCAACCTCCGGGGCAGGCATCCGGGTGGAGAGAGGACTTGTCCCTCGTGGGTGGTGGTTCTTTATAGAAAAAATCGAAGCTTAGCAGCTCCTCGAGGCCCGGTAAGTGCACACCCTACGAACAGCCCAAGTTTGCCTCCTGGTGGCCACTTTGATGTCATGGCCCTGACCTAAATCAAAGAAACTGGTTATGCTGGGAGGTCGGTGCGCGTCACAGGGCAATAGCGCGGTGGCATGGGAACGTGTGGGGTCTTTCCATCAGGGAAGCCCTTGGCCGGGCTCCGGCATCTTCTCAGGTCTTTGAGAGCCATAGCAGGGTTGCGGCGGCATGGGGGACAATGGCGGCGTGGGGGACTGTGCACGATGGAGTGGAGGAGGGGGTCTGGGAGCCAGGCAGACACTGGCTCTTGCGTGCTTGTCAGTCTGTGAGTGGGGCAGGTCGTCATTTTATCTCTCTGAATCGTGGCTTCCTCACCTGTATTCATTCAGCTGTTTTTCTTGTTTTCTTTCTTTTTTTTTTTTTTTTCTTTTTTTTTCCCCAGGGTTTGGTAAAGGCTCCAGTGTGGTGGCCTATGAAGGACAATCCTGGCACGACTACTGCTTCCACTGCAAAAAATGCTCCGTGAATCTGGCCAACAAGCGCTTTGTTTTCCACCAGGAGCAAGTGTATTGCCCCGACTGTGCCAAAAAGCTGTAAACTGACAGGGGCTCCTGTCCTGTAAAATGGCATTTGAATCTCGTTCTTTGTGTCCTTACTTTCTGCCCTATACCATCAATAGGGGAAGAGTGGTCCTTCCCCTCTTTAAAGTTCTCCTTCCGTCTTTTCTCCCATTTTACAGTATTACTCAAATAAGGGCACACAGTGATCATATTAGCATTTAGTAAAAAGCAACCCTGCAGCAAAGTGCATTTCTGTCTGACTGCAATTTAAAATGGAAAACTTAGGTAGACTGACTCTTCTGCATGTTTCTCATAGAGCAGAAAAGTGCTAATCATTTAGCCACTTAGTGATGTAAGCAAGAAGCATAGGAGATAAAGCCCCCACTGAGGTGCCTCTTGTGCCTCAGCTGGGACCCACCGTGTAGACACACAACATGCAAGAGTTGCAGCGGCTGCTCCAACTCACTGCTCACCCTCTTCTGTGAGCAGGAAAAGAACTTACTGACATGCATGGTTTAACTTCCTCATCAGAACTCTGCCCTTCCTTCTGTTCTTTTGTGCTTTCAAATGACTAACACGAATTTCCAGAAAATTAACATTTGAACTTAGCTGTAATTCTAAACTGACCTTTCCCCGTACTAACGTTTGGTTTCCCCGTGTGGCATGTTTTCTGAGCGTTCCTACTTTAAAGCATGGAACATGCAGGTGATTTGGGAAGTGTAGACAGACCTGAGAAAACGAGCCTGTTTCAGAGGAACATTGTCACAACGAATACTTCTGGAAGCTTAACAAAACTAACCCTGCTGTCCTTTTTATTGTTTTTAATTAACATTTTTAATTGATAGCAAAATAGTTTATGGGTTTGGAAACTTGCATGAAAATATTTTAGCCCCCTCAGATATTCCTGCAGTGTTGAAATTCATCCTACAGAAGTAACCGCAAAACTCTAGAGGGGGAGTTGAGCAGGCGCCAGGGCTGCCATCAACATGGATATGACATTTCACAACAGTGACGAGTTGAATCCCTTGTAAAGTAGTAGTTGTCTGCTCTTTGTCCATGTGTTAATGAGGACTGCAACGTCCCTTCTCTTGTGATTCCTAGGACTTTTCCTCAAGAGGAAATCTGGATTTCCACCTACCGCTTACCTGAAATGCAGGATCACCTACTTACTGTATTCTACATTATTATATGACATAGTATAATGAGACAATATCAAAAGTAAACATGTAATGACAATACATACTAACATTCTTGTAGGAGTGGTTAGAGAAGCTGATGCCTCATTTCTACATTCTGTCATTAGCTATTATCATCTAACGTTTCAGTGTATCCTTACAGAAATAAAGCAGCATATGAATAACCCGCCTCCTGTCTTTTCATTCTGCCTGGTGGACTCGCTATAAGGTGATACTCCTAATCCAGAAACCCAAATGACTTATTTTCCTTCCAGGATATACTCAGTTCAGTGCAGGTGCACGGAACATAGGAATTACAAACCAACCTGTAAAAACCACATTTGATTGACAAATACATACATAAAAACAGAAACCACTCTGACCTAAAATAGTATTTCCCAGATTTTCACATCCCTGAAAAAGGATGAATTGGTTTGATTTGACCAGGGAATTAGGGAGGGAATCCCCGATGAAGCATGGCACTGAGTAGCCATCTTGGTCCCTGTTTGTTGGGTGCTACCTCGCTATGCCTTCCCCCTTGTGCCCTCTGGAACCCGGGGTCTGGGTTGAACGTGACCATCTCAACTGTGGCTGCCTCCACCTGCCAGTCGAATGACACCCTCGCTCCTCCTTGTGGATGTGGCTCAGTAAGGAGGCTGCCCATTTGGGCCCATGCACTTCAGTTGGGGGAACATACAGGGATGCTGTGGGCAGAGGCAGGGGTTGGCCTGGCATTGAGCCTCCCCAGTTGCCACTGCTTCTAGACTAGCACCACGCACTAGTGTCTTGTCTTCACCTCTTGTGTTCTTGGGTCATCCAACCTGTCTACACCCACGTGGCCCTTACGGCACAGCACAAGAGGCCCCACGCAACAGGTGTCTGCTGCACTCTCCTCCCGGTGGAAGGGGCTTCAGACCATAAGGGCCCCTATAAGAACTGGGTGGGAGGAGGAGGTGTTAGTCTTAACTGGGACTCATGCTGAGGGTAATAAAAGCAAAGGGCAGAAGCCCTTTGGTGCTGATGTTTGCCTTCTGAGAAGGGAACAACCTGTCAGCAAGAAACTGTGAGCACTTTTAGGAATGTGGCACATCCGCTTGTGTGTGTTTCCTTACAGAAATTCGCCATGAAAACCTTGAAACCAGTGACGTCTGTCTAGTCAGGTGGGGCCCCAGGGACATGAGGCTGGGTCAGGGGATGGGAAGTGGCTGCCCTCACTGCTCCCAGAGGAGTGGGCTGAGTTCCTGAGGCTACAGCAAGGAAAGGAGCCCCACTGGGAGAGGGGAGAGGAGACAGGCCTGGGATGGAGAGGGGACCCCACCTGCCTTCATGAAGGGCTTTGGCCCCGGCTTATGCTCTCGATCCACTTCGGCTGAGCCCTGGGCCTTCAGCATCCAGACGCAGGCTCCCCTGCCTACCCACGTGCTCTTTCCCATTCTGGAACTCTTCTTCACTATGACAGTTCCTTGCCCTCCAGTCCTCAGTCCACCCTCCTTCTCAGCCCCTTCCCACCCTAACGCCCCTCCCCATCTGCCTAGATTCTATGGTCTGCATTTCATTCATTTCCCTCCTCACTCCTGTTATCCCTTTGCCCTTTTAGCCTGCTTGGCCTGCAAAACCTGAGTGGATGGCTCGAGCTCTGCTGAGGAAAAGCACCCTGGCCTAAAATTCCCAGTCCCACCACTCTGCCACTTCGCCCAAAGTCCCAAGACCACCTCCGCCACCTTCCTCACCCAGGAGACTGAGGTCTATCCGGAGTCAGCTTCTAGCCATTGCTTGCTTCGTGATGCCTGCCTGTCCTTCACACTTCAGCATCTTGTGAAGCACCTACACACATCAGAGCCGACACGCACCATCAGTCCCATTTCCCAGATGAGAAAACAGAGAGGTTAAGAAGTTTGCCTAAGGTCACACAGCTAGTGACAAGCCACACCCTAGACACACCTCTAGCATATCACTCATGACACTAAATTGTCGTAAAAATAAGACACATCACAATAAAACCGTCATGCACAGTGCTCAGCACTTAGAAGGCATTTGTTTGTTGAATACGTGATTTTAAGTGACAACCCTAAGGCTCAGGAGAAATGAGGGTAAATTTCCACTTAACAGCTTGTCAGCAGAGAAACATTTTCTGCCTCATAATGAATGGGATCAGAAGATCAAGAACCTCTCTACTTGTGATTCACAGGGTGGGCTCTGGCACTAGGCTACCAGGGTTCAAATCCTGGCTGCTCTGCCACTTCCTAGTCATGAGACCTTGGGCAAGTGAACCTCTCTGAGCTTGATCCTTCACCTGTGAGACCTAAAATTTCTACTTTGCAGAGTCCCATGTTGGGGACATAATACAAGTGCTTAGTGAGGGGACTGGCACCCAATAAACACACTAAATGCCAACAAATATTTCATCCCCAGCACCAAAGACACTGCTCTGGTGTCTGTGACCTACCCTGCAAGCCTCAAGACACTATGTTCACTCCCAAAGCAGTGTGGGGTGTTGGCTTGAGGGACAAACTTGGGTTTGAATATCAGCTCTGCCTCTTTCCAGCTGTGTGATCTGGAACAAATGCTGCTCTCCACAAATTTCGGTGTCCTCAGAGGCATAAATGAGTACCTACACCTCATAGAGTTGTTGTGAGCACTGAAAATGCCTGGCTGGGCGCGGTGGTTCACGCCTGTGATCCCAGCACTTTGGGAGGCTGAGGTGGGCAGATCACCTGAGGTCAGGAGTTCGAGACCAGCCTGGCCAACATGGTGAAACCCTGTCTCTACTAAAAATACACAAATCAACCAAGTGTTGTGGTGTGTGCCTGTAGTCCCAGCTACTCAGGAAGCTGAGGTGGATGAATCGCTTAAACCTGGGAGGCGGAGGTTGCAGTGAGTCGAGAACACGCCACTGCATTCCAGCCTGGGAAACAGAGTGAGACTCTGTCTCAAAAAAACAAAACAAACAAACAAAAAAGAAAATGCCTATCAAGTACCTGGCATATTGCACATGTAAACCTAACTGCAATGATTACAACACATTTGGGGAAATTAGAATCAGATGGGTACCTAGGACCCATCTGGAAACACTGTAACTGGAGTGGTGAGGGGACCAAAGGCAAGGAGGCTGTTTTGGGGCCTGTTTCGACCAACCAGGCTGGCCAGGCACTGAAGGGGTGGGGTCACTGAAGATGACGGAATTGCCCCGACATGATAAAATGTCATGCACAGTCTGCCTCCGCGCTCTGGCTTCTTGGCCCTAGCTGCTGTTTTATGCCTCCTGATCCCTCTGGCTCTGGCTCCAAGGAGTTAGAGGTGTTTGAGAACAGTGGAGTCTCAAAACTGAAAAGGCTGCAGAGATTGTGGCACAGCCCCATCATCTGACAGACAAGGAACAGGGATCAGAGTAGAGCAACAACGTGCATAATGTCACACGTGAGCTAGCAGCCCTCTCAGCTGGGTCCAGGTCTTCAGGGGCCTGTCTGGCATTCTTTATGGTATTTCACACTGCATTCTTGTGGTTTTGAGGGATTGGAGCAGTTAAAAAACTTCATTCCACATGCAGTGTCTACAATGACACAGGCATAGAAAATGCGCTGATCTGCAGAATCTGCTGGTGGAGGCCAGGGGTCTGTCCCTCCAGATAGAGGACACCAGGATGGGAAATGCAAGGCAGCAATGCGCGAGGGGAAGGCTAGGTCAATGTCCATCACCTTGGCCTTGTAAACAGGAACATCCTGGTAGACAGTTTCAATGGATGGATCAATAGGACCTGGCGCCAAACTTGGCAGTGAAGAGTTTCCAGCTCAGATGAGACACAGGGAGGTGATATGTTTGACAGGAATAGGATGTGCCTAGTTTGTGCTGATTCAAAAGTATATAGAATGCTCTAGCATGTTCAGTGGGGGAATGGCTACCACCATTCTCATAAGCACCAGACCCCAAAGACTGGGGATAAACAAGGACCTTGCCTTATCAAAAACAAAACCTAGTAAAGCAGAGGTCCCCAACCTTCGGGTCACGGACTGGTGCTGGTCTGTGACCTGTTAGGAACTGGGTCACAGAGCAGGAGTTGAGTGGCAGGAGAGCAAATCTTCATCTGTATTTACAGTGGCTCCTCATCACTTGCATTGCCGCCTGAGCTCGGCCTCCTGTCAGAGCAGTAGCGGCATTAGATTCTCATAGAAGTGAGAACCCTATTGTGAACCACGCATGTGGGGGATCTAGGTTGTGCGCTCCTCATGAGATTCTAATGTCTGATGATGTCACTGTCTCCCATCATCCCCAGATGGGACCGTCTAGTTGCAGGAAAACAAGCTCAGGGTTCCCACTGATTCTACGTTATGGTGAGTTGTATAATTACTTCATTATATATTACAATGTAATAATAGAAATGCACTTGAATCATCCTAAAACCACCGCACCATCCCCACCAAAGGTTCATGGAAAAATTGTCTTCCACAAAACCAGTTCCTGGTGCCAAAAAGGTTGGGGACTGCTGGAGTAAAGCATGATTTAAAATTGGAAACTAAACACTCACAGGCAGATCAGAATATTTGTTTTGCCATTCACAGTAACAGTGATGTCAAGAGATGAGTATATAAAAGAGCACAATTAACCACCTGAGCATGCACGCCCAGACTTTTCAAAGCAAGAGGGTTTTCTTCATCCAAGGTAAGCACCAAATGTGAGAATTAAAGGGGCGAGGGGAGGAGGGAAAAGGGAGTAACCGCTTAAAGGGCACAGATTTTCTTTTCAGGGTGATGAAAATGCTCCAGAACTAGATAGTGGTATTGGATATAGCTGCACAGCCTTGTGAATATACACTTTAAAATGGTTACTTTTAGGTTATACGATTTTTATTAGGATAAAAAAAGCAAGATCAGCACTATAAAACAGGGCAAGAAAAAAACAAGAAATTAAAAAAAAAATTCAAAAGATACTGTAGTAATAAGCCTCAACTTATACAAGAGAACCATCACAGGGAAGAGTAACAAGCACTGAAATAATTGCAGGAAGACAACCAGAGCTTGAAAACTCACATCTAGGCTGGGTGTGGTGGCTCATGCCTGTAATCCCAGCACTTTTGGAGGCTGAGGCAGGAAGATCACTTGAGGCCAGGAGTTCAAGATCAGCCTCGGTGACAGGGCAAGACTCCGTCTCAAAAAAAAGGAAGATGATGGTGAGAGAGAGAGAGAGAGAG